TTTTTTTGACGCTTAATCGACGGCCATTTTGAAAACGTTTCGATCTGGGTCGCGTGATATGATACGTCACACGTACACGTACGCGTGATATGATACGTCCACGCACACAGTGGAAAGCCGGTCATGTTAACAACTGAAAGTAACAACTTCGCACTCGCCGTCAAGCCGCTACCGAGCGGGGGAAAAAAACTTTTCTTTTATTCTGGTACAAGCCACTATTAAGAGACTGAAATACAAAGTAATGAATAAAATACTTTTCTCTAAAAAGGTTGAATTATGGAAACGCGACGAATCGCGTATCTGTATTCAGAGCCACAGATAAATTGCATGCCATGTGCCATGCCAAGCAACGGTCAAAAAAATTATATTATTTTTTTTCTCATGAACATTATTGCGTCTGTTTCTTTAAGAAACATTTTTTAGTCCAAGCCGAAAAGCATGTATGTCACTGTGACCTCAAGCCCATCGGTTCGAGAGTGAGCGTGACATAATTGTTGTCATGAATTTCGGGAGGTTTTGATCTGGTGTCGTGAACGAAAATCTTCTTCTACGTTCCGGAAATGTACAAGATTGAGTCTTTATTTATCTTTTTTTAACGGAGACTTGTGAACAGCACAAAGAGAGGCTTCTTGCTCTTGTAACTTTTTGTTTATTTTTCCAACGCGTTTCGTCTCTGAGACTTTTTCAGAGACGGTTACAACTAACATTGAATAGCATATATAGCACATACGTGTCCCTAAGTATGACTTTCTGTGGAAGTGAATATAACAGAAACATGCTGTGAATCGACATTACAAGAAACACCTTGTTGTGAGCGCCATACTCGAGTGTTGCTTCTCATTTGCGACCGGAAACATGATGAAATAAATCTTGTCTGCAAGGTTTCAAAGGTTACTCGCATTAAAAATGTACCACTGTCAGCTGAGTGAACAGTAAATTACTTACGCTCGTTTGTCGTTAATAAAACAAGCCGACAGCCCGAGAGAGGAAACCATTAAGGCACATATTATGAGACTGCCTAGCATCAACAATATAAAACGCAGTGTCTTGGCTAAAAAACCGAACCGACACAGAGACAAAATCGTGCGATGGAAATAACAAGCATGTAATGTTTCTCAAATTACGACCTGAATTTAATGAAAACAATTTATACGTGTATTCACGCTCAAGTTATTCAAAACTTTACCACTCTTAGCCGCATTGAAATTTTATAAAATGAACGGAAAACAACAGGATTTCAAGCGAAGAAAACGAAGACCAGGTAAGCGCTGTGTAGTGATGTTTATAACAATGCAAATGCAGAAGGAGTTAGCCCTCACCAGCTTTCCAGCAAAGTGTGCAGCGACAGCGGATTGCATTTGTTCGAACAAAAAGAGAACCTAATGGTTGGACACCAGGTTCAGTTTTCTCCTACTCCTTGAAGCTGCACAATGGATCTGGGTTGTACCTGCAGTTGTTTCTCTGTAACAGCTTCCAAATTTTTATTTTTCACTGCATGTACTTCTTGATAGCAGATGTTTTCTTTCTCGCTCCACAGTGATTGGCAAGTTTCACCAAATTTCACCAGATTCAATACAAGAAAACTTAGGACCGATACAAACGCGTTGAAAAGTGGATTATGTGGAAAAGTACTCTAAAAAATGAATCCGTCCTATGCTATCAGTCACAGATGGCCACAGACCTTTTCAGATTATTTTTAAACAAGGCTTTCAATTGTCTGCTCTAGTCGTAAGATTAAGGAAAGTAACTGTTATTTCTGTCTAGACTAAGTCAGGGAATTTTGAAGAGCAGGCGTGTTTTTGAGTTGTCTGATATGTTTTTTCAGCATCTTTCAAACAAGAGAAAGTTAGCGTTAGGTGAGCGATACGGATGAAAAAAATGTCGTTCCTTCTCTATCGCTGGTTTTGAAAAGCATTGTTCAGGGTGGCCATGTCTATTTCAAAACGGAAATTGAACAATTCTGAGAGTATTGTCCAGATCAAAGGGAAATTTTCCTTGTTAAGGTGTATTTCGCCTGTAAACAGCACGCGACATTTCTCGAGAACAATGAACTCTTTACTGCATAAGCATTTAGCATCTTGAGGGTCTAAAATTTCCGTGTGGTATGAATAACAAGTCATAACACAACCAGTCTCCAGATAAATACTGAGTTGTGTTCGCGCAGTTCGTCCAATAATCAATTAGATAATCAGTTTGTGCGTCTGCCATCATGATACTTCTCGTTTTAACTTGAATTTCGAGGTAGGTGAGGAAAAGTTTTTTTTCAATTTCCCCTCTATACTTTTCATTTACGCAATTGTTCGCCTTAATGCGTATATTCTCGTAATGAACGGCATAAGGTGTATTAACGAAATAAAACAACAACAGACAATATTGATGAAGGTCTAAGAAGCTCTAAACTTTGTTAGACTTGGAACAACACTCAATTTCTGATCACTGCTCTCAGTAACAAGATTTGACGTTTGACAGTCATCATCTTACGTACTGAGCATGTAAAAGTCTTAAGCCGCTTCTAGCATAAATAAAATGCAATCTTTTATAGCCTAATGCACAACAATTTGTTTCTTCGTGCTTCATGTTCATGCCATGCAAGTTCGTAATCCCATTCATTTAGGATATCTTATAGGAAGTTACAACAGAAAATATTGAGTCTTTGGCGAGTTGAAAGAGTTTGAAATTTCAGAACGATGTAAAGCAAATTACCGTGAAAGTATCATATCAGACGTGAAGTTAATTCAAACTGTTCGCTGGCAAAGAAAACTCTGTATAAAGTGGAGTTGAGGGTTTGGGAAAAAAAAAGGTTTTGACGCTATACAAAGCTTATTGAAGTGAATTTTTGACGGACTTTAAGATCTAAGATACACATTCATCTTATGGCGTCAGTCTTCGATTTCTCGGTTTCCGCATTTTAGTGAGACACAACATTTGAACCTCTAAAGGGAATATTTCAGTTTTAATTACAAAGTGCTGGGACTTTGCATCCCAAAAGAAAGCAGATTCAAAGCGTACATCTATATTTTAATATAAAGAGACGAGTTTTCAATTTGCTTCAAGTTAATTTAGATGTGTAGCCACTTTTCGTATCCTTGCCGTCATGCTCAAGTAATAGAGCCAGTGTGCATGTGCGATTAAGTATTTATTTAAATGAGAACTACATGACGAAAGAACCTTTTACGAACGAGCATGATGACCTTTTTTTTTCTTTTCCTCGAAGATCGCGATTTGACAGATTTGCTTGCGATTATAACACCAAATTGCCAAAATTCAATTCTAGATTCCTCAAACCCGGCACAGAAGCTGTGGATGCGTTTACACAGGATTGATCATTAGAATAAAACTGGCTTGTCTCACCTACCACTCTTGTTGGTAGAGTGTTGAGTCATATGAGTGACTGTAAGGCAGTTGATTTTCTAATCGTAACTATGTAGAAGTCCGCATATTTTCAGCCATTACTATGTAGCTATGGTGCGCTTTCAAATTTCTTTGTAAGGGACTGGCTATTTCCGCCCAACAAATCGGATTTGTTCACTAAGGGTAAAGCAAAGAACGTATTGTTCGGTACCAGGGCATTCACGATGTTTGGCGCTTCGTATTGATTTTGCTGGTGACAGTTCTCGCTCTTCTTTGAGTTTTGTACCTTCCCTAGTGGCTATTGTTCGGCTTGCCAGTCAGGTGTACCCTGAGGTGTCGATGGTAATTCAAATCGTGACTCATCGAAGATTGCATTGAAGTTTACGTTTCTTGGCTAAATTTCTATTATGTTTGTTGTTAGTATTCGATATATATTTTGGTTACGGTTAAAGTGTGTATTTTGAAGGAAATTGTGCAGATTTATTTTGTATGCACCCCCGGTGTGCCATGTTCGGATGAAGCCTGTGTACTCCCCTGGTGGTGTTTGGCTGTATTGTAATAACGCGCCTCGGTGGAGCTATACATTAGCGTATTGTTTTGATACTACTATTCGACATTGGAAAAGTATGTCGGAAAAAAATGTCCACCAAAAAATAAACATTTATTTGCCAGCTTCAATAATGACAGGAGATTAAGGTTAGAAGATAAAACAAACGATTATGTTGACAGAAATATCGGAGGTCAAGTATGTTCGTTACATGAGGTCACACAACTCGGGTATTGTGACGGTGAAATTTTGCATATTTGAGCGGTCGAACAAAAAAAATAATTTCTCGAAAACTAAAATATATTTTCACAAAAAAACTACACCATAATTATTAAGACATGTTGGCTACAATATATCAAAGTAGGAGTGAAATCAAATTTTGGGCGACTTGCCAGAATATTTCAAATTTGTGCGATGGATGCTGACATCCTCTCTTGAGTCTTTTAGAAACTTGAAAGAGTTTTTGGAATTTCATAAACATGTAAATCAAAATGCCGTGGAAGTATCATATCAGACGTGAAATTAATTCAAACTGTTTGCTGGCAATGAAAACTTTGTGTCAATAAAGTGGAGTTGATGTTTGAAAAATATAGGTTTTGACGCTTAACCAAGCTTACCGAATTTCTCGGTTTTCGCATTTTAATGAGATACAATATTTGAATATCGAGAGGGAAATATTTCAGTTTTAATCACAAAGCGCTGGGACTTGGCATCCAAATAGAAAGCAGATGTAGAGCGTGCATCTTTATTCTAATATAAAGTACACATGTATGAGTTTTCACAGTCTAAAGCTTATTTAGTCAACTTAATTTAGACAACTTAAAAAACACGCATGTTCTGGAAGTAAGAGTGAAGAAAGTAATTTTTATTTCTGTCGATGAATAGGTAAGGGAACTTTGAAGAGTATTGTTCAGAGTGGCCACGTTTATTTCAAAACGGAAGTGGAACAATATTAAGTGTATTGTCCAGATTAAAAGGGAAGTTTCCCTTGCTTAGGTGTGATTGACCTGTGAACATTACGCCATATTACTCGAAAACAATAAACTCTTCATTGCCAAGGCATTTAGCATATCAAAGGTTTAAAATTTCCGTGTGGTATGAATAACAAGTCATAACACCTCAACCAGTCCCCAGAGAAATTCGAGTTGCAGTCCTGCAGTTCGTCCACTAATCAAAAAGATAATCAGTTTGTGCGTCTGCCATCATGACACTTCCCGCCCTAACTTGAATTTCAAGATAGGTAAGTGACAGTTTTTTTTCAACTATTACGAAATAAAACAACAACAGACAATATCGATGAAGGTCTAAGAAACTCTAAACTTTATTAGACTTAGCACAACACTCAATTTCTGATCGCTGCTGTCAGTAACAAGCTTTGACGTTTGGCATTTGAAGTTTGACTGTCATCATCTCACGTACAGAGAATGTAAAAGTTTTAATCCGCTTTTAGCATAAATGAAAATGCAATCTTTTATAGCCTTCAATTTCCCGTTATCATCAAATGCGCAATAATTTGTTTCTTCGTGCTTCTTGTTCATGCCATGCAAGTTCGTAATCCCATTCATTTAGAATATCTTGTAGGAATTTGCGACAGAAAATATTAAGTCTTTGGCAACTTGAAAGAGTTGTGAAATTTCTTAAGCATGTAAATCAAAATACCGTGAAAGTATCATATCAGACGTGAAATTAAATCAAAATGTTTGCTAGCAAAGAAAACTTTGTGTCAATGAAGCGGAGTTGAGGTTTGGAAAAAATAGGTTTTGACGCTATACCAAGCTTATTGAAGTGAATTTTCTGAAGGACTTTCAGTTCTAAGATGCACATTCATCCTATAGCGTCACAGTCTTCGATTTCTCGGCTTTTGCATTTTAATGAGATACAACATTTGAATCTCGAGAAGGAAATATTTTAGTTTTAATTACAAAGTGCTGGGACTTGGCATTCAAATACATACATACGTTCATATTAACTCCCAACTTGGGCTTTTCGGTTACAGTGTCTAACTACAACTTTTAAAATACATATAAGTTAAAAAGGAGAAGGAATAATTGGTAAATAAGACATTTTATAACTAGAATCAATTACAAAAGACCTAGGAATATGATTAAAAAATGAAGTTATACTCAACACAAATGTTCACCGCTTAATAGCTTCTGCGCTAAACGACGCCTGAAGATATTTACACTGTCCGCAGCTTTCAAATCATTAGAAAAACAGTTCCAAAGTTTGCATCCACGACATGTGAATGAACGTGGACGACAACGAGGGATGTGTAAAAGATTGCATGATCGCGTAGTCCTAGTGTAAATATGAGAACGAGGTACAAATATATTGGCCAGATATTTTGGGACTAGATCATTAAGACATTTAAATACCATTACAGCATCGTTATGAAGGAGTCTATACTTAACAGTAAGCCAGTTAAGGGATCTTATACCTTCTGAGAAGTGATCATATTTCCTAAGACCTAACACGATACGCACAGCAAAATTCTGTACTAATTGGAGTTTCTTTGCATTGCCTTGAGAAGCGTTAGGCCATACAGTTGAGCAATAGAACAGTTTACTAAAAACGAGAGCGTTCATCAAGAATGTAAGAGACTTTCTGTCTAGAAGGAAAATTAAACAAAAGAAAGCAGATTCAAAGCGTACATCTTTATTCTAATATAAAGTAGAGGTGAGTCTTCAATTTGTCTCATGATAGTTTAGTCAACTTGATTTAGACAACTCGAAAAACGTGTCTGTTCTAGGTGTAAGATTGAAGAAAGTAATTGTCATTTCTATCAAGACTAAGTCAGGGAACTTTGAAGAGCATTGTGTAGGGTTGTCATGTTTATTTCAAAACGGAAGTTGAACGATACTAAGTGTATTGTCCAGATTAAAAGGGAAATTTCCCTTGCTAAGGTGTGTTTAACCCGTAAACATCAAGCCACATTTCTGGAGAACAATTAACTCTTCATTGCAGAGGCATTTTGCATATTAAGGGTTTAAATTTTCCGAGTGGTATGAATAACAAGTCATAACACCTCAACATGTCTCCGGATAAATTTTGAGTTGCAGTCTTGCAGTTCGTCCAATAATCATTGAGGTAATCACTTTGTGCGTCTGCAATCATGATATTTCTCGCTCTTGTTAGACTTGGCACAACACTTAATTTCTGATCACTGCTGTCGCTAACAAGATTTGACGTTTGGCATTTGACGTTTGACAGTCATCACCTTAGGAAAAGAGAATGTAAAAGTTTTAAGTCGCTTTTAGCATAAATGAAATTGCAACCTTTTGTAGCCTTCAATTTCCTGTTATCATCAAATGCGCAATAATTTGTTTCTTCGCGCCTCTTATTCATGCCATGCAAGTTCGTAATCCCATTCATTTATGATATCTTGTAGGAAGCTACAACAGAAATTATTATGTCTTTGGCAAGTTGAAAGAGTTTTGATATTTCATAAACATGAAAATCAAAATACCGTGAAAGTATCATATCAGAGGTGAAATTAATTCAAGCTGTTTGCTGGGAAAGAAAACTCTGTATCGATAAAGTGGAGTTGGGATTTGAAAAAAACTATATTTGACGCTATACCAAGCTTATTGGAGTGAATTATTTGAAGGACTTTAAGTTCTAAAATGCATATTCCTCTTATGGCATCACAGTCTTTGATTTCTCGGTTTCCGCATTTTGATGATCATGAGTTACAACATTTGAGCCTCGAAAGGGAAATATTTAAGTTTTTATTACAAATGGTAGGAATTAACATCCAAACAGAAAATAGATTCAAAGCGTACATCTCTATTCTAATTTAAAGAAGAGATCAGGTTTTACTGTTTCAAGTCAACTTAATTTAGACCACTCAAAAAGCACACCTGTTCTAGATGTAAGAATGAAGATTATAATTGTTATTTCTGTCAAGACTAAGTCAGGGAATTTTGAAGAGCATTGTTCAGGGTGGCCATGCTGAGTGTATTGTCCAGATTAAAAAGGAAATTTTTCTTGCTAAGTTGTGTTTGACCTATAAAACATCACGCCACATTTCTCGAGAACAGTGAAATCTTTACTGCATAGGCGTTTAGCATGTTAGCAATTAAAATTTCCTTGTAGTAAGAATAACAAGTCATAACACCTCAACCAGTCTCCGGATAAATTTCGAGTTGTAGTCTTCATTTCGTCCAATAATCATTAAGATAATCAGTTTGTGCGTCTGCCATCATGATATTTCTCGCTCTAACTTGAATTTCAAGGTAGGCAAAGAACAGTTTTTATCAACTACACTTTTTGTTGTTCATTATGAGAAAATATGCACTCATTTGCTTAAAAAGCCGAACTATTGCGTGAAGTTGCATTAATCAGCGACAAAAAACGATCATTTGCGCGTAAATCAGATTCCATAACGATTTTTGTATTTTAATCAGCATTCCATAACAATTTTGGGCATTCTTATACGTCAAACGTCATACAAAAGAGAAAAATACACTTTCATTTCCGCTAACCTTCAAGTTATAAACGCCATCTTTAATGCCAATGGAGACAATACACAAACATTCTAAAGCAGGAATCATTCATTAAAACTTTTAACCAACAGCCTCATAAGGTGTATCGTTATTTTCACCTACTATCGAGGCCTCAAAATCCAAATAATCAGACCACCATATCGAACTGCTCTTACTCGAACCACTATACGCCATATTTACTTTAATTTCCTAAGTGTACACAAGTGTGACCTATCAGGTCAAATTCAAATTCGAAGCGTGTGTGGCGGATGACTTATGAAGCCGCATTTAGGACAGATTTCCAGGCGAAAAAAGGCACGAAGAGGCGTTCGAAGTACCCTGTGCCTATTTCAATATGTTAACTGAGGCCTTTAGACAGTATTCCCAAAAAGTTACTTCTAGCGCGAGCCGTCAACGGAAATTGAACAATGCTGAGTATATTGTCCAGATTAAAAGGGAAATTTCCCTTGCTAAGGCGTGTTTGACCTGTAAACATCACGTCACATTTCTCGAGAACCATGAACTCTCGAGAAATGGCGTTAATTCGAGGGCGGCGTTTAAATCGAGTAAATACGGCAAACACACACAACCCACAATTTCTCCAGTCGCTCTGACGGAGAGCTAACGCTCGAAGCGTCAGCTTGGAAACTATTGATGGTGGTCAATTTACGTTATCAACTCAGTTAATAAGACTAAAAGACCATATAAAAGTCAAATTGACCATATAAATAATAAAAAGTTGATCATATGAAAAGTCGAATTGACCACATAAGATGTCGCATTAATTGAAAAAAAAATCCAAACCTTGTGACCTCATCAGTTTTAACTAAAAATAACTGTGTTTTTCCAGCGAGCACGAGCCGAGCGTGGGTCGAACCAGAAACGTGCGAAGCGTGGAAGGACTTAGCTACATAGCAGTGGTTACAAGGAGTTGAGGTAATAAAATGTTACTTATTACTAATGTTGTACAGACGCAAAATATGTGACTCCCAAGCACCAAAAAAACAACAGCAAAAAAAAGTGGAGCGTGAAGAATAATAATTGCTTGCATTACAGAGGATCAAGAGTGGGGTACAGTTCACGATGCCTATCATTTACACACAGTTATTTTTAGTTACCACATCACTTCTCATTTTAACGAGTTATAACCAATCCAGAATACTATCAGTCACACATGGCCACAGACCTTTTCATATTATATTTAAACCAGGCTTTTAATTGTCTGCCCTAGATGTAAGACTGAGGAAAGTAATTGTTATTTCTGTCAAGACTAAGTCAGGGAATTTTAAAGAGCAGGCGTGTTTGTGAGTTGTCTAGTCTGATTTTTTTAAACATTTTTCAAGCAGGCAGAAGTAAGCGTTAGGTGAGCGCTAAGGACGGAAAAAAGTCGTTCCTACTCTGTCGCGTGTTTTGAAGAGCATTGTTCAGGGTGGCAATGTTTATTTCAGAACAGAAATTTAACAATGCTCAGTGTTTTGTTTGTGTATTGTCCAGATTATAAGGGAAATTTCCCTTGTTAAGGTGCATTTGACCTGTAAACATCACCTCATGAGAACAATGAACTCTTCATTGCATAAGTATTTCAAATTTCCGTGTGGTGTGAATAACAAGTCTGAACATCTCAACCAGTCTCTAGATAAATTTCGAGTCGCAGTCTCGCAGTTCATTCAATAATTATTAAGATAATCAGTTTGTGCGTCTGCCATCAAGATATTTCTCGCTCTAACTTGAATTTCAAGGTGGGCGAGTAACAATTTTTCCAACTAAACTTTTTGTTGTTCATTATGAGAAAATACGCATTCATTTGCGTGGAAAGACGAACAATTGCGTGACGTTATATTCCAGCTACAAAAAACGATCATTTGCGCGTAAATCAGGTTCCATAACGATTTTTTTATTTTAATCAACATTCAATAGCAGTTTTGGGCATTCTTATGCATCAATCATCATTCAAAAGGGAAAACATACTTTTATTTGCGGTTACCTTCGAGTCATTGACGCCATACTGAATGCCAGTGGAGAAAATACACAAACATTACAGTGCAGAAACCATTCATTAATATTTTTACCACACTGTATGCAATTCAACAGCATTCCTGGACGACATTAGTGTGAATAGGACAATCACTAAAGCGCTTGTACGAACAACTGAGTGGTTTTGTATTCAATATGCAAGTATTGATTTTCAATTGAAAACCTCTTTTGCCTGACTTTACAATGTCAGTAAATTTCGTTCAGTTCATTCGCTTCGTGAACGTCTTCTGGCCGGTGGCAAAATGTCACAAAGAATCCAAATACCACTCGAACAAAATCGTACTTTCAATGCGCAAAAAAGTGGCCAAAGAGGACTCGCTAGGCGCTAAGGTTGATTATTTAGAACTTTAAATGCAACTATCAACCAGAAAATACAAGAAAAAGTTCGTGTCATAGGTCATAGGGTAACTGACGGCAACATTTCCCCCTTTTTTTGTCCCTATAAATTCCTCTTTGGTTAAAGAATCCTAAATGAGCAAATAAACGATATATTGGAAAAACCTAATTTCCTACCGATTTTTTTTTTAACGCTTAATCAACGGCCATTTTGAAAACGTTCCGATCAAGGTCTTGTGAAATGATACGCCCTTGATGTCCAGCTGTTACCGAACAGAAAAAGAAAAGATTTTATTCCATTTTGGTACAAGCCACCATTTAGAGACTTAAATACAAAGTGAAGAACAATATACTCTTCTCTAAAAAGGTTGAATTATCGAAACGCGACGGATCGCGTATCTGTATTTAGAGCCACAGATAAATTGCATGCCATGCCAAACAGCGGTAAAAAAAATTATATTTTTTGCTCTTGACCATTATCGAGTCTGTTATTTAAAGAAATATTTTTAAGTCCAAGCCGAAAAGCATTCAACTTAAGATTTTGTCCGGTGTACATCACTGTGACCACAGGCCCATCGGTTCTGGGGTGAGCGTGACATAAGCACAAAGTGTTGTTTCACGAATTTCGGGAAGTTTTGATCGGGCTTCGTGAACGAAGCTCTTCTTCTACGCTCCGGAAATGTACAAGATGGATTCTTTCTTTACATTTTTTTAACCGCGACCAGCGAGCAGCACAAAGAAAGAATTTTTGGTATTGTAACTTTTTGTCTACTTCCTCCGACGCGTTTCGTCACTAGCTGAGACTTCTGCAGGGAAGATTACAACTAACATTAAACAGCATATGTAGCACATACGTGTCCCTAAGTATGACTTCCAAGGTCTTGTTTTAAGCGTCCTTAGCGAGCATTGTTTCGCATTTGCGACCGGAAAACATGATGAAATAAATCTTGTCTGCAAGGTTACTAGTTTCAAAAAAGTACTAGTGTCAGCCGAGTGAACAGTAAGTTACTCAAGCGCGCTTATCGTAAATTAACAAGCCGACAGGCAAATATCGTGAGACCGCCTAGCACCCACAGTATAAAACGCAGTGTCTTGGTTAAAATAAAAAGAAAACAACCAATTCAGCGGCACAATCGTGGAACGGAAATAACAAGCACGTAATGTTTCTCAAATTATGACCTGAACTTTAAAAGAAGAAAGAAAAAAAAAACACACATGTATAGATATATTCACGCTCAATTTATCCAAAACTTTACCACTCTTAGCCGCCTTGAAATTTACAGTGTGAACGGAAAACACCAGGATTTCTGCTTGCAGCTGTTCCTCTGTAACAGCCTTAAACTTTTATTTTTCACTGCAACTATTTCTTGACTTTCCTCCCTCTGCATTGTTTGCCGGTAGTTTCCACACTGACACCTTGTAATAAAAGAATCAGTACAGTACAAATTTTTATCACGATGTTGAATTAAGAAATAGAGAACACAAGTTGTGTGATTAATTTCACCAAAATGAACAGTTATCAGCGCTGTATCTGTCACAAACGTTAAAGATAATTCAAAATCTAGGCTATTAACAAGGTACAAAGACCACAAAAAGGGCAGTATTCCGAAAAAGTTACTTTTCGCTGTCAGTTACCGTTTAAAGAGGATCAAGAGCGGGGTACTGAGTTATATTTAGTAACCATATCATTTCTCATCTTAAAGAATAATAACCAATCCAGAATGCTATCAGTCACAGATGGCTACAGACCGGCCTTTCCAGATTATATTTAAACCAAACTTTCAATTGTCTTCTTTAGATCTGATGTAAGGTTAAGGAAAGTAATTGTTATTTTTGTCAGGACTAAGTCTGGGAATTTTGTAGGGCGTGCAGGCGTGTTTTTTTCAGTCGTCTGGTCTCTTTTTTTGTGTGTGTGCATCTTTTAAGCAAGCACAAGTAAGCGTTAGGTGAGCGCTATGGACGAAAAAGAAGTCGTTTCTGCTCTATCGCGTGAAAAGCATCATTCAGAGTGGCCATGTTTATTGCAAAACGGAAATTGAACAATGCTGAGTGTATTGCCCAGATTAAAAGGGAAATTTCCCTTGCTAAGGCGTGTTTGACCTGTAAACATCACGCCACATTTCTCGAGAACCATGAACTCTCGAGAGTGGCGTTTAAATCGAGTAAATACGGCAAACACACACACAACCCACAATTTCTCCAATCGTTCTGACGAAGGGCTAACGCTCGAAGCGTCAGCTTTGAAACTATTGATGGTGGTCAATTTACGTTATCAACTCAGTTAATAAGACTAAAAGACCATACAAAAGTCAAATTGACCATATAAGATGTCCCATTATTTGACAGTGCTCATTCAGAGTACATTTACAACAGACATAGGGTAAAATTTGGACTGGACTATTTTTTGGACCATTTTTTGGACCATTTTTTGGACCATTTTAAAGAGGGGAGCACACCATTAGTATTGATGGAGGGGTGGGATGAAGTCTATCAGTGGTGAGGGAAGGGGGGGGACACAGAGTGTTATTTCCCAGAGAGGGGCGAGAGACGGACTATTTCTACGCAGGGAGGGGTGGGAGGTGGTTGTAATAGTAAACACTACTGGTTTAATTGGTTTTTCATATTTTACCCTATGCCTTTACAACAAGATAAGACATTTTGTTGAGAAGTCATCAGTCATATTATGCGTTTGGTTTAAGTTTAGAATAAAAAAATTCTTAAAGTCTAAGCTGCACTGCTAAGGTGAAATATTTACACAGACAGCAATCTTTATGTACCAGGCCTTATTATTACTCCTAGATCCACTGATGTAAAGAGGAAAAAAAGAAGTAGTAGAAGTAGAAGACTTTGAAAATGTTCTTAAACAGATAGTTGTGCATGTTGAGAGTTGCACTTAAGTTAATGAGATTGATTTTGGTCTTGTGATAGGCATCATGAAACTGTGCCCCACTCCTGATCCACTTTAGCGCAAGCAATTATTATTCTTTAAAATGAGAAGTGATCTGGTAACTAAAAAAACTAGAAGAAAGAAATCCAAACCTTATGACCTCGTCAGTTTTAACTAAAATAACTGTGTGTTTTTGTAGCGAGCACGAGCCGAACGTGGTCCAACCAGAAACGCGCGAGGCGTGGAGGGACTTGGCTACACAGCAGTGGTTACGGGGAGTTGAGGTAATCAGATGTCTAGACTATATTACTAATGTGGTACAGACGCAAAATATGTCACTCCCAAGCACCCAAAAAAAGGATTGGAGCGTAAAGAATAATAATTGCTTGTATTAAAGAGGAACATGAGTGGGGTTCAGTTTCATGGTACCTATCATTTACACACAGTTATTTTTAGTTACCAGATCACTTCTCATCTTAACGAATAATAACCAATCCAGAATGCTATCAGTCACAGATGGCTACATACCTTTTCATATTATATTTAAACCAGGCTTTTAATTGTCTGCTCTAGATTAAGTAAGATTAAGGAAAGTAATTGTTATTTCTGTCGACTAAATCAGGGAATTTTTAAGAGCAGGCGTGTTTGTGAGTTGTCTAGTAGGTCTTTGTTGTTTTTTTTGCATCTTTCAAACAAGCAGAAGTAAGCGTTAGGTAAGCGCTATGGACGAAAAAGAAGTCGTTCTTGCTCTATTGCGTGTTTTGAAAAGCATTTTCAGGGTGACCATGTTTATTTAAAGACCAAAATTGAGGAATACCGAGTGTATCGTCCACATTAAAAGGGGAATTTCCCTTGCTGAGGTGTGTTCGACCTGTAAACATCGCGCCACATTTCTCGAGAACAATGAATTCTTCATTGCATTGGCATTTAGCATATTGAGGGTTTGAAATTTCCGGGAGGTATGAATTACAAGTCATAACACAACCACTCTCCGGGTAAATTTCGAGTTGCAGTTGAAAGAGTTTTGAAATTTCATAAACATGTAAATCAAAATACCGTGAAAGTATCATATTAGACATGAAATTAATTCAAACTGTTTGTTGACAAAGGAAAGTTTGTGTCAATGAAGTGGAGTTGAGGTCTGAAAAAAAAACTAGGTTTTGACGCTATACCGAGCTTATCGAAGTGAAAGACTCTAAGTTCTAAGATGCACATTCATTTTGTGACGTCACAGTCTTCGATTTCTCGGTTTCCGCATTTTATTGAGATACAACATTTGAACCTCGAGAGGGGAATATTTAGCGTTAATTACAAAGTGTTGGTACTTGGCATCCAAACAGAAAGTAGATTCTAAGCGTACATTTATATTCTAAAATAAAGTAGAGATGAGTTTTCAATTTGTTTCGAGTTAATTTAGCTGTGTAGCCACTTTTCGTATCCATGCCGTCATGCACAATTAATAGAGCCAGTGTGCATGTGCTATTAAGTATTTATTTAAACGAGAATTACATGGTAAAAGAGCTTTTTCCTTTTCCCCTCACATTCAGCAATCGCTGTTTAATCTCACCTAAGACGTCTGTATGCTTGAACGAATTGAATCTCTTTCAGGATTTTGGTCGAAGATAGCTATCTCCAGAGCTCACGCCGAGTATGGCTCTACAGCCTTTTACAAACGAGCAGCTGAATTACTTCAAATTTGCCTCAGTTGTACTTAATGAGTTCGCCACTGCTTTGCGTCAGACGTTCAAATCCATGTGGGACAACAGATATGGACATCGTTCAGGGTATAAACTGTGGGATAACTCCATGGTAGTAAGAAATTTGTTTCTCGCTGAAGAGGGTGGAAAAACTAAAGTTCCCACACACATCTCCTATGAAGAATGGGATTGTACCGCTCTGTTCCAGGCCACCATCTATGCAAGGTCCTTCGCTATGCCAGATAGCAAAGGTCATTACAAGACACTTGGTGAACTGTACATAAAGCACCACAAAGTGCCCCTTGGAAAGTTCCATCCATCTGTTGCGAGTCCAAGTGGAAATACAGCCGAAACCTTCGCTTTCGCGATTGATCAGCTTCGACTTTTACGAAACTCGCTTTGTCACTCAGACAAGTCAGAGATTGATAAACCAACCTTTGACCAATACGTGCAGCTCGCTAAAGAAGCATTCAAAGCTCTTGGTATCATGACAGATCCCATTGATGCCATCGGTGGATTGACAGAGTCTGACTTTCCCACGAAAGAAGTTCGCAAATTGGAAGAAAGTTTCAGACAGGAGACCAGATCATATATCGAGTGTCTCGAAGAGGTGCAGTCAGGTGTCGACAAATTAGTAGCACAGGGGAATGCTATTGCTGTGTTGGAGGGAAAAATAGATGATTTGAAACGTAAGATGGATCAAACTCAAACAGGTATAAACTGATTTCAATCAGTAACTTAAGTAACTTAACAGTAAGATGCATTGTGGCAGATTCCTATAAGCTTTACTTTGGCAGGGAGGAACAAAAGAGCAGCGTTTTTAATCTGTATTTTGCTAGAAATAGTTGAACGGGGCAAAAATGTTCCATCCATCTGTTGTGAGTCCATGTGGAAATAAAGCCGAAACCTTCGCTCTCGCGATTGATCAGCTTCGACGTTTACGAAACTCGCTTTGTCACTCAGACAGGTCAGAGATTGATAAACCAACCTTTGACCAATACGTGCAGCTCGCTAAAGAAGCGTTCAAAGCTCTCGGTATCATAACAGATCCCACTGATGTCATCGGTGGATTGACAGAGTCTGACTTTCCCACTAAACAAGTTCGCAGATTGGAGGAACGTCTTAGACAGGAGATCAGATCGTATATCGAGTGTCTCGAGGAAGTAACATCAGGTGTCGAAAAATTAGTAGCACAGGGGAATGCTATAGAGGAAAAAGTAAATAACCTCGCTTTGAAAATGAAGAAGGATCAAGATAAAACAGGTATAAACTGATGAAAAACTGCATTGTGGCACAGTCTTGTAAGCACTGCCTTGGCAAGGAAAAACAAAAGGGACAGCAGTGTTTTTACTCTGTACTTTGAAGGTAGCAATAGCTCAACGGAGTAACTTCCAGTTTTTGCAAAAATGCTTTGTACATGTCTCAAAAATCCTTTCTTCTTCCCTAGGATGAATTTCTTCTATGATCAGAGTAGCACCTTGAACAATCTTTTTTCTTTTATTTCAAAACAATTTGTGCAAGAAATAAACTGCACCCACTTTATTTACCGGCATTGTGACTCTTGTAGGATGTTGTTAAAATTATAACTTCACGGAAAAAGCAGCAAGCTCATAATTGACGCTGTATCCATAAAACTTGATTTTCTAGATTTTTAGTGTGACAGTAAAATGTACCCTTTTTTTAATGATCATTATTTTTTTTTTGCTCCTCAAACTACCGACATTAGCTCTCTCATGATTGCATCAATTTTTTCCTTTTAAGATTCAAAGCCATTCCTTCCACCATCAAATCTTCCTTCAAGGGTTCCACACTTCACTGGCCGTCAGAGAGAATGTGAAGACATCAGCCGTCACTTAACTTCCAAAAGTTCCCGGATCGTGTCCATATGGGGCTCGCCTGGTTTTGGTAAGACTTCTGTGGCAACTGAAGTCGGACATCAACTCCAAACTGGTGGACTTCCCGTATACTTCTTCTCTATGCGACGACTTCTTTCAAAAGCCGGTCTGACTATGCAGCTTCTGAGCTTCTTTAAAAGACACTCCACAAAAGATCAAATGCCTCAGCGGATGTCCCTTGAAGACGAACTTTCCCTCTTTCTAAGCAATATTTCAGGTGAATTTGTGATAATTCTTGACAATGCCGATGACTTGCTCGAAAATGGAGCACCCAATGTGAAGGAGGATTTCATCAACCTTCTGGAAGTCATTCTTAGTCAATTCAAGAATTTAACATTTCTTCTTACCACAAGGGAATCTCTTGAGTTTATGAATGTGCATTTTGAAGGCCATCAAGCAGTAAGAATAGGGCCATTACACGAGTCCTTCTCTCAAACCTTAGTCGGCGGATTACTCCCAAAAGCGACCGCGTCTGACTGCTCGAATATTGCAAAACTCTGCGGGTTCGTACCTTTGGCCATGAAACTGTTCTGTTCCTCTATTGCTGAAGATAATGCTCAGCCGACTCAATTTTTAGTTAGCTTCAAGGAATCTATAGAAGATAACCTTTTGGAGCTGTTGGACGATTCAGATTATCCAAGCAATCTGCGATTGAAGTTCCTATTTGAATCCTCTTTTCAGAGACTCTCTCTATCAGACAAAGAAGCCCTGGTATCACTTAGTGTTCTTTCTGGAGATTTTAACCACTCAGTTGCTGCAGCTGTCATGGGTGTAAAAACAACTCTGGAGGCCAAGAAAATCTTGCATAGGCTTCGGAAGAAATCCTTCCTCGACTATAGCTTCAAACCTGAGTCATTTTCGATGCATAAGTTGATTCTGTCGTTTGTAAGGGAAAGAGGTCAAGATGAAATGAAAGAGGCCATGCTGAACTCCAAAGCACGTTTGTCTGCATTTTACGTCTCTCTTTTCGAGCAGCTAAATCAACAGTTTTTGACAGGACAATCCATGCAAGCATTTATTGACTTCTATGAAGAGAAGCAGAATATTATTGAGAGTCTTATGGAGAGCTGCTCCGATCCTAAGACATGTGACGTTGCATTTGGTGTCCTGACAAAAGCAGAAATCTTTCTAGATTCCCTTTTCTGGTGCGAAGGGAAAATTATCGACAAAATTTACGATCACGCAACTAAAGAAGCTCAGGCGTTTGGAAAAAGCGTATTCTACAGTCAGTTACTGGTGTCCTTGGCATTCACCGAACTGACTTGGGGGATACATGGAAGATCGATGACGATGCTCTCTGAAGCCGAAGGCCTTTCGTTGTCGGTAGATGATAAAAGAAAAATCCTGTCTTATAAAGGCATCTGTCAACTGGTTTCAGGCAAAATAGACGACGGAGCTCAGAACTTGCAAGAAGCTCTTTGCTTGATGAGTGACAGCCCGGAACAGCGAATTCTCAGCATAACTGCACTGCAAATTCTTGTTACTTACTTTCTTTTCAATAAAAAGAAAGCAACTTCACTAGAGTTTTATACCAAAGCTTTACATGAATGCAGAGCATTAGGAGACACAGGCCTTCTTGTTATTCCTCCGGTGAATAACAAAGATTTGACAATGATCGAAGCAGATATGCCGGAACCAGATGTTATAACCACTCAACCACTTAGATTAGAAACTATTTGCGTTGTTAGCAAAGCAACAGAAATGTTCTCTGATTACGAAACAAAGCAAGCAATAAGCAAATCTGTGCTAAGGATGTCAAATCAAACAAAAACACAGATCCTCCCACATTCCATTGGTTCATGGACCTTCCAGCGCAACATCAGTTCGACACTTAAAAATGTACTGAATAATCCCGAGGAGGCATCAAAGTTGTGCGACACACGGATCAGTTATCATAAAAAGACCTTAAAACAAAGTGGAAAAGTTAACGCAGGAGATAAAGTTAGACCCAACAAAAATCTTAATTTAAATTTGCATCAAGAAGAATTATATAAAAGCTATATGGACCAAGGCCACATTCTTCTTCTGGTGCAAAACTATCCTAGAGCCATTCAGTCCTTTGAATATGCCCTTAACATCGCAAGAGGACTCTTCAAGGAAGAACACCCAGACACAGCCGAAAGTTACTTTTCTATCGGAGTAACACAACATGCTTTAGGAAATTTCTCGTCAGCACTTCAGTCCAAACAGCGTGCTCTTGACATAAGAGTTAAACTCTTCGGGGAAGAACACCCAGACACAGCCAAAAGTTACTTTAATCTCGGAGTAACACAACATGCTTTAGGAAATTTCTCGTCAGCACTTCAGTCCAAACAGCGTGCTCTTGACATAAGAGTTAAACTCTTCGGGGAAGAACACCCAGACACAGCCAAAAGTTACTTTTCTATCGGAGTAACACAACATGCTTTAGGAAATTTCTCGTCAGCACTTCAGTCCTATCAGCGTGCTCTTGACATAAGAGTTAAACTCTTCGGGGAAGAACACCGAGACACAGCCGAAAGTTACTTTTCTATCGGAGTAACACAACATGCTTTAGGAAATTTCTCGTCAGCACTTCAGTCCGATCAGCGTGCTCTTGACATAAGAGTTAAACTCTTCGGGGAAGAACACCGAGACACAGCCAAAAGTTACTTTTCTATCGGAGTAACACAACATGCTTTAGGAAATTTCTCGTCAGCACTTCAGTCCAAACAGCGTGCTCTTGACATAAGAGTTAAACTCTTCGGGGAAGAACACCGAGACACAGCCGAAAGTTACTTTTCTATCGGAGTAACACAACATGCTTTAGGAAATTTCTCGTCAGCACTTCAGTCCCATCAGCGTGCTCTTGACATAAGAGTTAAACTCTTCGGGGAAGAACACCCAGACACAGCCAAAAGTTACTTTTCTATCGGAGTAACACAACATGCTTTAGGAAATTTCTCGTCAGCACTTCAGTCCGATCAGCGTGCTCTTGACATAAGAGTTAAACTCTTCGGGGAAGAACACCGAGACACAGCCGAAAGTTACTTTTCTATCGGAGTAACACAACATGCTTTAGGAAATTTCTCGTCAGCACTTCAGTCCCATCAGCGTGCTCTTGACATAAGAGTTAAACTCTTCGGGGAAGAACACCGAGACACAGCCAAAAGTTACTTTTCTATCGGAGTAACGCAGCATGCTTTAGGAAATTTCTCGTCAGCACTTCAGTCCCATCAGTGTGCTCTTGATATAAGAGTTAAACTCTTCGATGAAGATCACCCAGACACAGCCAAAAGTTACTTTGCTATCGGAGTAACACAACATGCTTTAGGAAATTTCTCGTCAGCACTTCAGTCCCATCAGCGTGCTCTTGACATAAGAGTTAAACTCTTCGGCGAAGAACACCCAGACACAGCCGAAAGTTACTTTTCTATCGGAGTAACACAACATGCTTTAGGCAATTTCTCGTCAGCACTTTAGTTCAAACAGCGTGTTCTTGATATAAGAGTTAAACTCTTCGGGGGAGAACACCGAGACAGCCAAAAGTTACTTTAATCTCGGAGTAACACAACATGCTTTAGGCAATTTCTTGTCAGCACTTCAGTCCAAACAGCGTGCTCTTGACATAAGAGTTAAACTCTTCAAGGAAGAACACCCAGACACAGCCAAAAGTTCTTTTCTAGGAGTTTGCTAGGATTATAGTGAAACTAGCACTCCAACGATTTTCTTTCCTAAAGGACACCCGCGAAGGTGGGAAGTAACCTTAACAACTCAGTTGATAAAACCAAATTATCTTGCTATACTCTCCCACTGACGCAGCACCACACTTTCTTTAGAAACTCACTGCCTGTAATGATAAAACCCAGTTGAAGGACTCCTTCCCTTTTAAGCTGTGTAGAAGAGTAAACCCCGGTCACTCTGGGAAGAAAAATGACTCGGATTTGCAGAAAATTAAACAATTTGGGAAAACTTGAAGGAACCATTTAGTCTTGTTTTTTTTCTTTAACTAAAAATAAACGATTTTAAACTTCACCTCAATGTTTCTTTTCAGAAACTTCATTAAAAAACACTTCCTTTCTTAATCTGAGTTTACTCGAGATAAAAATGTCATTTTTGACGTTTTAGTGACATGGAAACGAATTAGTTGAAGAGGTTCGCGTGGCATCATGGAAGTTTCGGATTACCCATTCGTTTCGCGGGAAAATTAAGTCATTCTAGGTCGGTCAGTCTTATGTTTGACCACTTTCTTTTCTGTATTTGTTGTAATTTTGGTATTCCGACTCCCTGCAAAATATTACAATCACTGATTTTCTTCCTTAGTACTAGAAGACTGACTGGCTCATCCTGAATAAACTTTTCACATTGAATTTATCGTGTGAGTGTTGTCAGAATGACAACTTTACATTAACTCTAGAATATGAAAAAATAAATAAGTCCCTACCTCTCAGATCCTGTCTCAACCCGTAAAAACTTTTTCTCATTTAAAATTTAAAAAAATGCACCTTAGGTTGAGGGCATGAAAGATGTGAGACTAGTTTTTCTTTACAAGCTGCATCAACTGCGTGCCAACGAAGATTTCGACGAGGACTGACAAAGACGGTTTCTCGCCTGCGGTGTTCAGGTCAAGATTAGAACAAAGTACTCCTGTTACTGAATGATTAGTTAATTGCCTTCGTGTTTTGTTTTCTACGGCGAAATCTATGGTAATAATGGGTAGCTGTGTTCGTTTCTGTTTACATAACATGTTATTTCTTATTTCTTTGGTTAATGCTCCAGAGTTTCGTTGCTGGAGAGTCATTTCCTTGGCAAACCAAAAGCTAACTTTTGACGAAATAATCAGCTGTATCACGAGCCACGATGATTTTTCGCCTAGAAGTGATCGGGCAGTTTCACTGCAAACTGCTCCTTTCCTCAGAGATTGTAAATGCAGTGGCCGTCGTCGTCGAATCGGTCAAACGAAAAACGAGTGAGTTTAAAGTCATCTGATTCAAGCTAATCTCAAATAGGGATTTTAATACAGCAAAACCTTCTTTAGTTTAAGTGTGGCATTGCCATGCGACCCATTTCGCACAACACTTGGATTCGCTACCATGCATCTAATTTGATAATATTTGCGTTTCTTTAATTATCTCGTTGCAGTGCTGTTATCACAATGATATTGTTACTGTTGCTACTTTTAGTTTCTTGAGGGCAGGGGGGAATTGATGGCTCGTGGGATGGATTTTTGGAAACCTAAGTTAGGAGAATACACGGACCCTTCGAGCTTGTGTTTATGCCAGTATCCGCCAGAGGTTCACGCCACAGGATATCGGTCAGCTCAGGAAACGGCTTGAACTTTATCACAAATGATGCATTTCTCTTGTTAAAATACGACACAAACTACAATTGGTAGGATTTTCATACGATAAGAGAAAGAAGCGCAAATGTAGTCGTGTGGAAAGACAGAGAGAATGAGTACATCTCAAGCGCGTGAAATAAGGAGCTCACTATTCTTCGCTTGCGAAATGTCAGCCGAAAAGAATGTTGAACAATCGTGTACGGTGTGGGAACAGGCTACTTAATTAGCATCCTCTTTAGCTGAATTCTTTAGTTATCTTCCCCTGATTTAACTCAGTAATTATATGTGTTAGCAACAGGCGTCTTCGAAGCCGGTACGGAGCATAAGGCCAACGACATTGAAGAGTAAACTCTCCTCGATGTCGACGATCGAGACACGTCCATTTTGGCCATATAGCTACATCATTTGGAAATTAGTCTTTAAAAATACCTGATATATGTGTATTATTCTTGTAGCTATGATTTGGCGCTCCGGCCACGCACTACGTTCGTCCTTTTTTCCAGATTTTTCCTTTCTCCACCAAAGCTGCCGACGTGTCTTCACATTTTTCTACATCACAGCTATGTAACATAATCGTTTGGGCCACGCGCGTAATGGAGACACTTTTTGAACGCTAAATTATACGTACGTATACATTCCTTTTAGGTTAGAGAATCCTAAATGAGCAAATAAACGACATATTATTCAAAGCCAAATTTTCTACAATTTTTTTCGACACTTAATCGACGGCCATTTGAAAACGTTCCGATCCAGGTTACGTGATGTGATACACCACACATGTGTAAGGCAGTGAAAGGGGTAGCCTGAAAAACAGGCTTAATTTTGGCGAGCGAGTGCTAGGTATTTTCTGAACGAAAACTATGGCCGCCATCTTTGATTTTAATGGTAGCGGAAGGCTGGGGAGAGAAAGAAATTTGTACTGTGGGGGTGGTCGACGGTCAAAAATAAGAAGAAGAAGGGTGGAGGTGGAGGAGTGAAGATTCTCGCTCCTTCCCCGCCCCCTACCCCCACTGTTTACTCTAACTCCAAATCAAACATGGCCGGTCGGATAAACGACCGCGAGCTTATAACGTTAGCTCCCACTAATAAGAAACCTACACTGCAGGCTATGAAAAGGGTCATGCAAAGACCTGAAAGTAACAACTTCGCCCTCGCTGTTCAACCGCTACCGAGCGGAAAAAAAATGTATTTGTTCTATTTTGATACAAGCCACCATTTAGAGACTATGAAATACGAAGCGAGAAATAAAACATTTTCTCTAGAAAGGTTGAATTATCAAAACGCGACGGATCGCGTATCTGTATTCAGAGCCACGGGTAAATTACATGCCATACCAAACAGAGGTAAAAAAAATAGTTATGTATATTATTTTTTCCTCTTGACCATGATCGAGTCTGTTACTTATAGAAATATTTTTTAGTCCAAGCCGAAAAGTATTAAACTTAAGATTTTGTCCGGTGTATATCACTGTGACCTCAAGCCCATCGATTCTGGAATGAGCGTAACATAAGCGCAAAGTGTCGTCACGTATTATGGGAGATCTTGATCTGGTTTTGTGAACGAAGCTCTTCTTCCAAGTTCCGAAAATATACAAGATTTATACTTTCTGTATCTTTTTTTAACGGAGACCAGTGAGCAGCACAAAGAAAGACTACTTGGTGTTGTAACTTTTTGTTTATTTTTTCCGACGCATTTTGTTTGAGACTTATTCAGGGATGATTACAACTAACATTGAACAGTATATATAGCACATTCGTGTCCGTAAGTATGACTTCCAGCGGAAGTGAATAATAACAGAAACATGTTGTAAACCGACGTAACAAGAGACGTCTTGTTATGAGCGCTACACTCAAGCATTGTTTCTCATTTTGCGACCGGAAAATATGATGAAATAAATCTTGTCTGTAATGTTACTCGTTTCAAAAATGTACCACTGTCAGCTGAGTGAACAGTAAATTACTCACGCTCGTTTATCGTAAATAAAACAAGCCGACAGCCTGAGAGAGGAAACATGTCACGAGACTGCCTTGCACCCACAGTATTAAACGCAATATCTTGGTTAAGAAAACGAACCGAGTAAGCGACCCAATCGTGTGACGGAAATAACAAGCTCGTAATAAGGTAAGATTGAGGAAAGTAGTGGTTATTTCTGTTAAGACTAAGTCAGGGAATTTTGAAGAGCAGGCGTGTTTGTGAGTCGTCTATTTTTTTTGTTTTTTTGTTTTTGCATCTTTCAAGCAACCAGAAGTAAGCGTTAGGTGAGCGCTATGGATGAAAAAGAAGTTATTCCTGCTCTATCACGTGTTTTGAAGAGCATTGTTCAGGGTGGCCATGTTTATTTCAAAAAGGAAATTGAGCAATGCTGAGTGTATTAACCAGATTAAAGGGGAATTTCCCCTTCTAAGGCGCGTTTGACCTGTAAAAATCACGCTACATTTCTCGAGAACAATGAATTCTTCATTGCTTAGGTATTGAGCATAGTAAGGGTCAGTTTAGAATTTCTGTGTAGTATGAATAGGTAGTCATAACACAACCACTCTCTGGATAAATTTCGAGTTCCATTCTCGCAGTTCGTCCAATAATCGTTCAGATAATCAGTTTGTGCGTCTGCCATCATGATATTTATCGCTCTAACTTGAAGTTCGAGGTAGGTGAGTAACAGTTTTCTTCAACTACACCTTGAGTTGTTCATTATCGCCACTGTGTGTTTGTCGACGAATCCGGTGACAACTTTTGGACGGCCAGAAGTCACGGTAAAGCGCAGTAGGGAGAATCTGATTTACGCGCAGATGATCGCTTTTTGTCGCTTAGGAATGTAACTTCACGCAATTGTTCGCCTTTTCAAACAAATGAATGCGTATTTTCGCGTAATGAACAGCAAAAGGTTTATTAACGAACGTTTTGAGCCGCTTTTAGCAGAAATTAAAACGCAATCTTTTGTACCCTTCAATTTCCTGTTATCATCAATTGCGCAATAATTTGTTTCTTCGTGCTTGTCGTTCATGCCATGCAAGTTCGTAATCCCATTTATTTAGGATATCTTGTTGGAAGTTAATACTTTGAAAACTTGAAAGAGATTTGAAATTTCATAAACATGTAAATCAAAATAGCGTGATATTATGATATCAAACGTGAAATTATTTCAAACTGTTTGCTGGCAAAGAAAAGTTTGTATCAATAAAGTGGAGTTGAGGTTTGAGAAAAACTAGGTTTTGACGCTATACCAAGCTTATTGAAGTGAATTTTTTGAAGGACTTTAATTTCTAAGATGCACATTCATCCTATAGCGTCACAATCTTCGATTTTTCGGTTTCCGCATTTTAATAAGTTACAATTGTTTCGGTTGAACCTCGAGGGAGACATCTGTTAGTTTTAATTACAAAGTGCTGGGAATTGGCATCCAAACAGAAAGCAGATTCAAAGCGTACATCTTTATTCTAATTAAAGTAGAGATGAGTTTTCACCTTTTCTCAAGTCAATTAAGCTGTGTAGCCACTTTCCGTAATTATGCCGTTATGCGCAATTGATAGAGTCAGTGCGCATGTGCGATTAAGTATTTATTCAAACGAGAATAACATGACCAAAGAACTTTTTACCTTTTCCTCTCACATATATCAATCGCTGTTTAATTTCACTTAATATGTATCTATGCTTGAACAAATTGAGTCTTTCTCAGGATTTTGGTCGAGGATAGCTATCTCCAGAGCTAACGCCGATTATGGCTCTACAGCCTTTTACAAACGAACAGCTGAATTACTTCAAATTTGCCTCAGTTGTACTCAATGAGTTCGCCATTGCTTTGCGTCAGACGTTCAAATCCATGTGGGAC